CCTCTCTCTCTCTCTCTCTCTCTCTCTCTCTCTCTCTCTCTCTCTCTCTCTCTTTAATGGCATACTAGTCACTGCTTAGTTCCTTGTTGCTATTGCGGTGTCAACCTCCCCCTGCTCCACTTTTGGGATTAAAACTATTTTGGAGCTTATTTCATATCAGATAATTCATATGAACACTTGTAAGTGCCCAGAAGTGATTCCCACTGTCATTAGTACAAGAGCAGCTTTCTAGGCTGCAGAACATTCTGTTAATAGTGCCTTGGTGAGGGACACTTAGGACGTTTCCAGTATTTGTCCATTGTAAGTAATGCTGCACTGAATTTCTTTGCTCGGAAGTCCCCATATGAGTATATGAATGTGCCTTTGAAAATGTTTGGCATCTAGAAGGCACTCTGGCCATTGATGCAGCCTGTTTACTTTCCCACCAGGAATGTAGGAGGGTGCCTGTTCCTCAGATCCTTTCCCAACTATCTTGTCACAGTGTCCCAACCTCATATGTGAAAGGGTATCTTGGTTTAGTTTGCATTTCTTTTACTAATGTGAAACTAAATGACCTTTCATTTGGTTAGAGGTATGAATTTTAACTTTTTGATATTTTGTTATATCCTTTGCCTTTTTGTCACCTATGGTTTTACTTTGCAGCTTTTTTAGATTTTTTTTTTTTTTTCTGAGATAGGGCCCTGTAGTACAGGTTAGACTTGAACTCCTTGTGTAGCCCAGAGCAACCTCAAACTTATGGTGATCCTCCTCCTGCCTCAGCCTCCTAAGTGCTGGAATAAGAGGTATATGTTACCATGTCCAGCTCCATCTCTATTTTTTTTTTTTCTTGTATTGGGGATCAAACTCAGGAGCTTGCACTTGCAAGGCAAGTGCTTATGCCACTGAGCTATCTCCCTGGCCCTCCGTCTGTATTTTTAATTTTGTTTGAAAGGCATTTCCTACTCCAAGATTATTAAAAAGTTACCCTATATATTCATCTAATAATATTTTTAAAATTTTATTTTTAATTGTTTATATCTGTGCTTAATTGTTAATATTAGTCTAGCGTATGTTGGCTTGAATGGTTGGATACTGAAATCCCAACAAAACTAGAAGGTGCCTGGGGATAGCACGTGAGACAAGTCTAGCTAGTTTGGGGGCATAGTAATCTCTACGATTTGGAGTGTTCATTTTGCCCAATATAATTTTGTTTTCCTGATTTTTTGTCATGGTCTCTTCAGGCTGGCCTTGAACTCACTATGTAGCCCAGACTGGCCCAGACTGTGATCCTCCTGCTTCCGCCTTCTAAGTACTAGGTTTATAGGAGTGGGTCGCCTATCCAGCTGCTCTATATAATTCTGTGTTTTTAAATTTTTGAGAAACTTCTTAATAGATAGAAGAAAGGCCTTATGCTTTACTGGTAATTTACCATTAACTTAAAAAATGATATTTTGAATATTGCATTGACTGAAATATTAATATTTGGCCTTTTGTTAATGCAGAGGAATATTTGAGGTCAGTGTTTCTTAGTTACAGTTGTTGCTTCATGGTTTCCAAGATGGGTACTTGGTGACTGTGGTCAAGCAGGTAATGGAAAAAATAATGGTAGTAATTTGACCCAGTGTGGCCTTCTGGAATGGAGAGAGAGAGTTCTTCCTTTTATTATTTTAATATTTAAAGCCTCTAACACTGCTCAGCTACGTTGGTTTGGGGGATTTATGATTTTTTAAGGGCTGTATGTCACTTAGGATTCCCTCTCTCCTGGGACTGTTTATATTTTACTAGCTAGCCAGCTCTTTTGTACAAACATAGCAACAAAAATTGTTCCTTTCCTAGGCTATGGTGTTCCTACTCAGGTAGTGATGATGTGACTGTTTGGTTTTGCCAATTTCTCAAAAGTTTTTGGGCATGGATGCAGTATTTTATGTACCTTTTTAAAAAAGGAAACTGGAAACCCAAAGCAGTGCTCTTGCAATGTGTTACTATCGTTACCAGGAGTGGGGATTTGTGGCCAAAGCTGCTTTGAGTCACCAGCCTTTGAGAGCTCATAAAACAAAGCATCCTTTGATAAAAAGGTAAAAACTGGGAGAACTTGAGTTGAGGTAGCTTATTTCAGGGCTCGCTTTCCTGTCCAGTGTCAGATATGTGCTTTCAAAAGTGTGTCTTAGTTTTTCTCCCTCTCTCTATAGAGCACACGTCTAGCATGGTCAAGGCCTGGGTTTAGTGCTGGGCACCAAGAATCCACAACAAGCAATTCTCTTCAGGTTAGATTCTGATTGATTTTTTAAACGTCACACGAGTTGTACTGGAAAGGTTGTAAGAGATGGACTGGTGTTACATGTAAAGAAACAGAACCCAAAAGGTGAAGGAGTGGGTTCAACATCATAGACACTGGACAGTGGACAGCATAGGATGAAACCCTGCCCCTGGAGCTACTTGTCTAGCACACTTTTTAGACTACTGCATTAAAATATTGTCATTTCTCTGTAACTTTCCTTAAAGGTCTTGTAATATATTTTAAATCACTGGCTGGTGGGAGCAATTTTTACAGTACTTTGGTGCATAAAGTAGCACTTTACAGATACATAGTTGAAGTCTGTTAACGGGTGTCAGCATGGAAGAAGGCAGACGATGTTGAGAACTTCTTCCTCTACTTTTAAAAGCAGGGTCAGCTTAGGCATTTTTTTGTTTTTGTTTTATCAGTCCTGAGGATCACATTCAGGGCTTTGCATGGGCTAGGAAGTGCCCTACCACTGAGCCACATCCCCAACCCTATTTTGAGATAATTAATGTGTAAGAATATGCCTCTGGACTTTGATACCTTTAACTCAAAACCTATGGAGTTGCTGAGCTAAATTGCTGTGTTGACAGGTTGGAAGGTGTTATTTAATATTTTTCAGTAAAAGAACTTATGTAGTGACCTTTGTCAGTGTTTCTATGTCCCTTTCCAGTGGTACTATCAAGGTCATTTCCCTTAGGGATCAGTGGAGTTGAAGGTCAGAGCAGGAAAAGGTAAAGAACAGTTCAGGTAGATGTCGTCTAGATAGTACAGATGGGAGTGACTCAAGTTAATTTATTAACCTTTCTCTTAGGAGACTGAATGAGTTGCCACTCTTGGCGTAGTGTGGCTTTGTGAATTACTTTAGTTACCAAAGTGACGTTTTAGCCAGAGTTCTGTATTTTACTGTATGCCGGAACAGGCATTGGAGTGCCCTGCTTGTTATGATAATTTAGTACTGTAAGATGAGGTAATCCATCCACCACTGGACCTTAACATGGTGTCTACAGAACACAACTGGAAGGAGATCGAAGACAGAACCTACTGGATGATCTCGTAACCCGAGAGAGACTACTTCTGGCATCCTTCAAGAATGAGGGTGCAGAGCCAGATCTAATCAGGTACGATGTTTTCATTCACAGGGCTCACTTGGTGGGTGAAGATTTAAATGAAGTTTTTACAGCTGATTCCTGAATGGCTTAACAAGGTCTTTATAAAAATATCTTCTGTTCATTTATAGTGTTTGGCTATAATTTTCTATCCAGTTTTCATTTTTTTGATCTAGTAAGCTTGTGAATTTAGCTGAATCACATCTTGGGTAGAACATAGTATCCTTAGGTAGAACATGAAGTTTAGAGAACTTGTTTTGTATTATTTAGTTGCATTTTGGCATGAAGTCACTATCTGTGTGGAAAAGTGAGTTTCGTGTTTTGACTGGCATGTTGAAAACTGCTGTCTTGACACATTGCAATTCGGGGTTTATGGAGGGGGAGTGTGGCAGTGGGACTGTCCTCTCAGTGGTTGACATTCTAGGGAGCTGCCAGCTGCTGTGCACTAGACCCAGTGGCAAGCCCCAGAGAAGGGGTCTCTGTTGTGCAGGCTGAGGTAAATGAGCTATAAGCATTACATTTTAGATTTGGCCTCCCCGCTGCTTCTAGAACTGTCTTCACCTCCTCCACACAATGAACTGAGCTTAAGGGGTAAACCCAGTTCTGCCCCTCTTCCCTGCTCAGGATGATGCATTTATTGTGGAGAGACAGTTTGTTTCTGCTTAAATTGTAGTTAGGAATAATATGCAGGGTTTTTTAACTCCAGCCACGCATGTCAGACTCTGCCTCAGACAGTTCAGTCTGATTGGATGGGGAGTAGGGGATGGGGGCAGGGGCAAGTCAAGGTCCTAGGTGATTCTCCTTAGCAGCCAGAATTGCAAACCACTGTCCTAAGCACAGCCAGAGGATGGAGCAGTTTCTTTCCTGGTGGCCCCAGGCTTGTTAGGAGTGGGTAGTCTAGAGTTTTCAGGAAAAAATTATAAAATACAAGAAGTTAGATAAAACCCAGAGTCAGTGAGGAAGGAGCCATGATCCTGTCTTAGCAACATCCTGGGTAGAGTTTTAAATGAGGACCAGAGCCATGTGCATCCATTTATTGTGGTGCCTCCTTATGCCCCGTGAGCTCTCTGGCCATATTCAGTCTTGGGAAGTGAATGGGTGAATGCAATGATCTGGGTTGGTGAGATAGGACAGGTAAGCAAGGAATCCAAGTGGAAAAGACATTGCTGTCTTTCAAGAAGGATCTTTACATTGAAGGAAGAGGGGTTTTCAGTCAAGAAATTAATAGTGGTGGGTTGAGGGGAGGAGCGTGTTTCACGGGAAGGTGAGAGTCAAGGAGAGAGATGGTCAGAACTGGGAGAAAACATTCCTGTTGTTCTACTTTGTTGTGTTGGAGGAGGTTATGATAAGTAGTAATCATTCGGTAGAAGTCTTTTATTACCACATTTATTTGCTGGTTGGTTGCAGTCCTGGGGATTGAACCTGGAGCCTTCCCGCTGAGCTACTGCCTCAGTCCTTTTATCAATTTTTTATTTTGAGTCAGGTTCTTGCCCAATTGCCCAGGCTGAGCCTTAACTTCAGAGTACTGGTATTAAAGACAGGAGCTTCTTCTCTTGCCTCACATGGCATTTATCATTCTTCATTGACTGCTATTTCGTATTTAATGGGGCCAGCTTAAGAATGAGGCCCTTAGGAGTTTCACTGTTTTCAGGTCCTCTGTAGCCTGCCTGGTCCCACTCGTCTGTCTCACAATAATCTCCATATCCTTGCTGTTCCAAGCCAGCCTGCAGTGAGCAGCACCCACGTCATCTGGAGCCTGTTAGCCATTCAGAGTTTCAGCTCCCAATCCAGGCCTCCTGAATCAGAACCTGCACTTTAACAAGATCATCAGGTGATTGGAAAGCATGTTATAATTTGAGAAATACTGCTTTATATTACCTGTTCATAATTGTGGTACTTGAAATCAGAATTTACTAAGAGGTTTACCAAAAAAAAAAAAAAAAAGCATGGGAAAGAAAGAAACAAAAGCACAAGTGTTTACTCCATGTACTGGCAGAACATGGGGTGAAGGCCTGATGGCAGTGGTGACAGGGTTAGGACTGCTGCCTTGTCAAGGTGCATTTGGTGATGAGACCAATAGCTAAGGCCGGCTATCTGTTTTCTGAATCCTAGACACTGCACTCAACTTTTTCTGTGCATTTTTTTCAAGCTCTTCCAACTGCATCCCATTGTGCAGAGGGGAAACTAAGGCTGGGGTGGATAGTGTGCAGATTCTAAAACCAATCAGTCTTACAGTTTGGATTTCAGATCCAAACTTGTGAACATGGCACTCTACAAACTGAACTAGGCTCAGCTTTGTTGTTTACCAATTCCTCAGTCATATGGGCTTCAAAAATCACTTGGATCAAGGCATGTGTTCTGCCTGTTTTCAGTGTTGTGAGGTTCAGGTGAGGTGACTGTTATTTGAAGGCTCTGTGAACTTTAAAACCTTTTCAAATAGAAGATGCTGTCACTGCATGGTTGTATCTCCTTGAGGCTGAGGGGAGCTCATGCCATGTTGTCTCTGAGACCCTCTGTCCCCGAGTGCCCTGAAGACCTGGCCTCCATGACTGCCCATGTTCCATGTGCTGCACAATGGGCTGCATCTTGTTCTCTGCCTTCCCCTCCTTCCTGCCCAGGCCTCATTAGTTCCTGCTCCCCTTTCCTCAGCACCCATCTTGCTGTATCTTCTTGGCAGACAGTATCATGATAATTCTGTCTGTGGAACCAATCTCTAGCAATGACTTGTTTTCTGGAAATACTTTAACCAAAGGTTCTTTCAACCCTAGGATTTGAGCTAAATTAATTGATAGGAGAATTTGAGGGAAATGGACAGGTTAGCAGCAGAAGTATTTGTTTTGGGTGGAAGCTTTCTCAGGACATCTTTAGTTCCCACCACTAGAACTGCCTCTTAATCTTCCTGTAAGGCTGATCCACATAGTGGACCTAAAGCTGTTGCTTGTTGCTTTGTTGGTGAATGGTTGGGGTTGCTTGGAGACAGAGGGCAGCCTGACTAGAAACTGTGGAGCAAAGGTATCCACAGTTTTGTGGTTTTCAGTAACTAATAGGCCAGGCTTATTTATATGCAGTCAAGATGCATCTGCAGGCAACATATATATGGTTGCACTGTTTTTGTTCAGGAACAGAAGGTTAAAATAGTTCACAGTAAGATTCCCGAACTCTGTTCAAAATGTGTGTAAGCATTGTGGAGGAGAAAGGACTCCTGAAGAGTAATGTGAAGAAGGTACAAATGTGCATGACAGGCAGCAATGGTTGCTCCAGATGACATGGAGCCTCATGGAGTCTGGCCAAAAGGAAGGGACCACTGTGGCAAATAAATATCCGTCTCCATGAAGCGATAAAATTCCCTGAAGGTGGAGAAGGGAAAACATGCTAGATGACTTGGAGGGTGATTTCCTTGCTCCCTTTGTTTGTGACTCTTACTAGATTCTGATTACCTTAGACACATTGTCCCTATCCTACCAGTAGCATGTCTAAAACTATAGGTCTTATAGAAGCCCTGGGTGGGTCTAGTCAGTAAGAAAACCTTGGATACTGGGAGCTCTGCTAAAGGGTTATGAGAATAGGAAAAACACATGTTCCAGCTAGCTAGAACCACTGGGGACTTACAAACAAACAGTGAATATATTGAGTTGAATAAAAAATAGTAAAGCCAAACAAAGTGGCTTGTCTTAGCTCTGAGGTCAGAGTTGCTGGTCTTCGATTTGATTCACATGCCCATGTCAGTTATTTTTGCTCCCTCTGCCTCTAGCCCCTACCCATGAGGTCTCCCCTCCCGACCCCATCTTCTCATCCCTAATAATTCTGAAGACCTGAATTTGGTTGTGGACATAGCCAGTTTGGGATCATAGCTTGATCACGTCCTTTGCCTATCAAGTGTTGAATTTCCAGCTCTTAGGACCTTTCAGTTTATGTCTTTGAAAAAGCTTCCTTCTTTCTCCGCCATTTGGTTTCCCTGGTATTTCCAGGGTAATATTTCCAGGGTATATTCTCTGTCTTCTCCATTGTTAACCCCTAATCCTGGGCTCCTCTAACATTTTTGTTTGCTTCTATGATTCTTTTCTGTTTTGTTTTGTTTTTCTGTAATACAGGGTCTCATTATGCAGTTCAGGCTGGCCTTGAACTCACTGTAACCCAGGCTGGCCTCAAATTTATAATCTTGCTTCAGCCTCCTGAGTGCTGGGATTATAGGCGTGCACCACCATGCCTGGCTTGCTTCTGTAGTTCTTGACCTTAGATCATTTGGGTTGCTGACTTGGGATGCGGTTTTTGGGAACACATATCTTTCCATTAGGTTGTGACTACAGAAACACGTTAGCCAGAAAGCCATGTCAAAGCTTAAAAATGTTTACAGACATGACTGTTATGGCATATTTTAACATTAATGTCAGATTGTCCCTGTTAGAGAACCCAGATTAACCTGCTTTATCAATATTTCAGAGCCCTATTTTATGGCAGTGACTCAAGATGAGTTTGCCAAATTGGGACTTGCTTGGAGCCCTGTGAGGCTCTTTCCTGGAGTTCCCTACCTCAGTTTCCTTCCTTCCTGTCTGCTTTGGGCATTCTTCTTCTCTCCATTTCTCATTCCCAGTAGTCCTCCTACCCATCCCTTTTTTTTCTCTTTTCTCATCTTCCTCAGCTGTGGTCTTATTAAGGAAAGAAGAGTATTGTCAAACATCAGCTTGGATTAGTATTTCCATTAAGCAGACATTAATGTGCCAATCACGTAATTGAATGTGTAATTGTCATGTGAGGGAATCCTCATTCTACCTTACGGATTACTGGTCATTATTCTAAAGCAGTAAGCCTTGGTCTAAATAAGCAATGGTTGACTAACTTAGGGCATTTGGAAACTTGTTAAAGAAGTCTCTGTGCAACAGTGTCTTTTAGAAGAAGATAAGCCCTGATTTATAAAGCAGTGACACAGCTTCTGATTAAAAGCTTACTGCCCTTTATATTGGAGAGCATTGCTAAGTCTTACAATTAGTTAAATCTTTGCAGAGAAAGAAAAA